ATTGTTTAAATAGTTTTTTTTCTTTTTTGTTTTCTTTTTTTTTTTTTTTTTTTTTTTTTTAACCAAAGTATGGCATTCTCAAAAAGACAGCCTGCAGCTTCAGTTTGAGGATATGGTGTGTCATTGCTATTAGCCACTTTTAATTTTGACTACATCTTACTTTATTTCATGTCACTAAAGGTTGCAAAACTTCCACAAGTGGTCCAGCAACAGGCTACTGTTGCCAACATTCAACAGATGGTTTCGGTTTCCCAACAGGTAGGTCTTGGGTATTCTGGCTCTTAGCTTTGATTTATAAGGCTGTGCTCTAGAATATGTATCTGGAAGATGTTTTTCATTGAAACGGTGCATCTTACATTCTCAGCATCCCTCCCAGGCTTTCTGTCAACAAATAAGGTGCTTTTCTGTAGTGCAGAAATTCTGTGAACACACTGTTAAATGCCAAACTACCCTTTCTTAATTGCCTTGTCTCCTGCTGTCTAGGTTCAAGCTCAGCCCCAAACCGTGACCCTTTCTCAGACGACAGCAGGTCAGCAGCAGGTTCAAGTAATTCCTGCAACAACTGCTACTGCTCAGGTCGTCCAGCAGAAGCTGATTCAACAGCAAGTTGTGACAACAGCATCTCCCCAGATTCAGGCTCCAGGTGTACAGAATCCTGCACAGACACCAGCAACGTCTGAAGCCCAAAATCAGCAAGCAAAAGTACAAATGAGGACACCTACTGTCAGATTAAAGGCACCCACTAAACCAAGTTGAACTAATGATTAAAATGCAATAAGCAGGGAAATAAAGCATTTCTTGTTTGCTAAGCCATGGCAAAGTGAGAAGCTTCTCCAGACATCCAAATGAAGACAAATCACCATTTCTTTTTCTTTTTTTTTTTCTTTTTTTTTTAACAGAAGGATTTTGCAGGTGAACATTTAAACATGGAAACTCTCACAAAACCTCAGCATGTTAGCAACTGTTTAACACTCAGAATCCATCCAAGATACATTCTGCTAGTGTTCTCTGTGCTCATTCAAATCAGATAAAGCAAACATTGCTTGCATTTAAATTCTGCCCCACTACACAAAACTATAATGGTGATGCACCATAAATGCCAGTACAACTCATCTAGGTTAGAATACTGTAACCTGCCTGTGGGATATGCAGCTCTGCTATAATTTGGGTGAATGTTTAATATCCATGGTGAAGCCATTCAAAGAATCAAGTGTGGCTAAAAAAGCAAAGTTATTTTCCATCTCTAAAAGCTGCATATTGTTCTTGCTTGAGGGTAAATACCTCTGGAGGAACTAATTTATATTTGAAGTGCTCCCTGAAAGTTTAGCCAATATATGTGAAAACCTGTAAGTATATGTAATTAAAAGGAAAAAAAAGTTTCATTCTCCATTTTTGTAAGTCTTTTAAAATGTTTGTTGGTAGTTTTGTGTACAGTTTACTGAAGCACCCAACCTGTGCGTCATTCATATTTCACTTTAAGATAATGGATATTTTAGGCATGAACTGAGTAAATACTGTGTTGATAGTAGACGTGTATTAAAGTGTAGCCTTTTTTTTTTTTTTTTTTTTTTGTAAAAGTCTTGCACAGTAGATACAGCTAAACAAATGGTCCGTAGCTGTTTCTCGTGGGACTTCCTTAAAGGAAAATCTCAGACAGATGAAGTTTAATCTCTCAGTTTCATTCTGCTCTTGCAACATGTTTAAATGTTCAGTACTTTCTACTCTGCTTTCAGCTTGGCGGGTGGGGGGCTGGGGGAAGGGGGGAATAGTGAAATTAAATCTAAGACTAATTCTTCAATTGTGTAAAGAATAAGATCTAACTTTTGTACTATTCTTTTACTAAAGCTAATGATGAATGTATCTTCAGGTGGGTATTTTGGATGTGAATAGAGCGTGGCCTCTTCCTCCAAATGAGTTTGCCTTATTGTTATGGAAAAAAAATCCAAGCAACAAGCTGCATAGAACTGTGGGAATTTTCTTTTCTTGCATAAAATTGCTGAAAAGCAAACTCTCTTTGCAAACAGCAGAACAAGTAATCAAAAAGCTCTCGGTGGCTTGAATAGATTTATTTTACTTTGGCCATAAAACTGCATGACATGTAAAATCAGACAAGTTTATAACATTCCTTTTCTGAAATGGTTTTAAAATTATTTTTTCATTCTGTGATCTTTTTACTATTTTAGGAGGGGAGCCTGTTTACAGGCAAGGAAAACATATCTTTTCTCCTTATTGCTGTATGGGCACCCCAAGATATCCAGCAATGCAGGTGGCTTAACGAATTACTCAGTCAACTCCTCTGTTTTAAGTAGGATGGACGCCCCGTTCTGTTGAGATCACGAATGTAACACTGGGTCAGGCAGAGTTCCTGATTTCTTTTTCTTTTTTAATTTTGTATCTCTTCTCCTGCTTTGTATTTTTCTCAGACCCTCAGGTCTGCAAATATGAGGGCATTGATATTTTATTTTCACATTGTGTATGAAAATGCTGAACCACTGTCTGTGCCATTGCCTATTAGCAGGAAAACTAATAATGTTGGCAATGGGATAGTCGACAATGCAAAGCAAAATGCAATGGTAACCGATAACTGACACTGTGTACAGTATGTTGTTGCGCATCCAAAAATATTGCTTAGTTAGCCTCAGTTTTACTTTACGTGTTTAGCTCTTATTATGTGCATGGGAGTCGTGTGTGGGGGGACGGTGGCGGCAGCAGGGGCGTCGCTGCCCGCGTCATTGTGCTGGTCGGATTCGCTGTCTAAAGAGGCGCTTATTTCTCAGTTAGGTCAGTTACTGAGCATAAAAATCACATTTTTTGCTTTTTTGTTTTTGTTTTTTTTTTTATACCCCCCGCTCCCCTTCCCCTGTGTCTCTCTCCCAAGCGTGTGTTAGCCAGTCTACCTGTAAATAACTTATGAACATAAGCATTTGTACTTGATCCAGTAGGATTGTAAGGACTAGTGATGTATCCTACCTGAAGGTGTAATAAAGTGTACATTTTTATAACAGCGCCGGCTCCGCCCCTCTCTGCTGCTGCGGCAAGCCCCGCCTCCGCCGACACG